GCTGTGAGGACCCAGCAGGGTAACAACCATGTGCGACTTGGCAAGGAGCCTGGCACAAAGGAAGAGCTTCATGAACGCTTGCCATTATTGTGATTAATAGCAGAAATGAGAGGCAAATATCCAACGGGAAGGGACTGGTCAATAAACTCAGATGGCTGTATGTTACCCAGTTGCTAAAATGTTTTCTTGAAAATTGTGTAGGGGCAGAGCAAAACTGTCCAAACCAAAAAATGGATGTTAAAAGGAGTATTTAAATGTTTACAACATACAATCCCGACTTTGTAACGGAAATGCATGAATATTTTTAAAAGGGGTTTGGGGTTGAGGGTATATATTTGAAAATTGAAGAAAAGGTAATAGCATCTATAGCTAAGTAGTAGCATTCAATCCTTTCAGCCTTTCTGCTGTGTTCTCTCTCTCTCCTGTTTTCTGCAATGACCATGCATCATTTCATAGCCAGGAGAGACAATCGATACATGCTCAGAGCAGCACCAATGAGAAAGGAATGCACTCAGCACTCTGAAGCCTGCTTCTCAGAACTACAGCTCTCCTCCCCCCAACCCGGCCTGCAGCTGGCCCTTCTCAGCACAGCGACCTTTCCAGAGAAGTATTGATTTCCTTTGGTTCAAAGCTGAGTCCTGCCTGGCTGTCAAGTCGGCTTGGTCATCCTCAGGGACTGAAACAAGACTCCCAGAATTCAACGACTTTCTGGCAGATTTCTGGCTTCAAGACTCACTCCACAACTCCACTGCTGTGTTCACACATGCACTGAGAGCCTAGTAGAGCCCACTTCGTCACACAGACACAAGGACGGAAGGAAGACATGGTCCCAAGCTCAGTTTGCTCATCATCTGGTCAATGGAGGGACCGGGGGGACCAGGGGGACCAGGACACAGTATGGGAGCAGCATAGCAAAGGTACACGAGTGACAAAAGAGCCTGGCCCAGGCTGAAGGGGTGAGGGTCTAGGGCTAGGCTCCTGGAAGCTGAGGCAAACACAAAGATAGAAAGGAGTGAACACACACAGCCTGAGACCAAGGCTCAAGGCCATTCACTGTGGCTGTTAAGGTGTGATGGAGGCATGGTGCTGAGGGTGGACTGGGAATCTTGCTCATTATGCTAAGGGGGCTGGATCTTATCCTTAAGGCAGCAGGGAGTCACTGAAAAACTTTAAGTGCTGCTGTTCCTCTGAACCTTTAAAAGTCACTATGGTTATGAGAGTGGAGGGAGAACCAGGGGAGCAAAGTAAGTTGAATAGGAAGTCTCTGCAGCAGTTGAGGTAAGAACCAACATGGGTTTAGACAAAGATGGAGGTTCAAACAAAGAAAAAGAGAGGACGGAGTAGATTTAGGAAGCATTAAGGCAGCAAAATCAAAGGGCTTGCTGGTGACTGTTTGCTGGTAAAGAGTCAAGGCTGAGCCCAGTCCCTGGGTATCCTGTGAGAATACAAGTGAAAAAACAGATTCTAGGTACAGAGGGGTTATAAAACCAGGCTATGCTGTGCATTGGGGTATCTGAACCAAGACATTTGGGTGACAGTCACACGTGACTTTCTGGAGGTCAGGAGAGGGATCTGGGCTGAGGGTATATATGTATGTTTGTGTGTGTATGTATGTATAAATATATGTATATGTATGTATGTATGGAAGGTGCTAACCTAAGCTCTCTGTGGAAATCACAGGAACACATGTGATCATCTAGGGAGAGTGTGTGAGATGGAGAGAAGAGAGAGAACAGACTTAGAGGACACCAGCACATTGGGGAGAAAAAGGGAAAGGGGCAGAGGGAGAAAAAGGGGAAGGGGCAGAGGAAGGAAAAAAAGGGGCATCGAGGAGGACAAGGGAGGTGAAGGAGGCTGGACCACCTCCACAAATGATGCAGAGTACTGTCCCATAGATGGGTCTGTCCTGGCCCTCTGCCTAGGGGAGTCCAAGGGGAATTACATTAGTCTTCACCAGCTCAGAGAAGCCTAGGGCAGAGCCCTGTCATCTGCTGAGAGACAGCACCACCTAGTGGGCAGCAGGTGCTCACACCAGGCCCCTTGCTTCATGCTCTGCTCCAGGACACTGGATCAGGCTGCGTCCCACTGCCCCATGTCCTGAAGGTACCAATCCAGGCTTTTGCCACTTGTGCAGGACCTGTACCTCTGACAGCAGGACACCCTGTGGCATCAGCTGAGATCATATATGCCAATGCACAGTTGGCAGGTTAGGATTTTAGTTAGAGATCAACTTGGCCCAATGGCATGGGCAGAAATATAAGCTCCTCACCTTAGATATGTAAGCCCAGTGAGAGAGACTAGACTAAACTTGTTGCTACATGTTTGTGGTGTTTTCAGCATGCAAAGAAAGTAACAGAAAGCTTGTGAAGCATTTCCAGCATGGCCAGCCCTTTCCCTCCAACACACAGTTCTGGGAATTCTCAGCGCCTCCTGCAACAGTGTGTGGTTCAGGCCTCATCATGCAGGTCACAGGTGACCTTGTGAGGTGGGGGGATGTTAATAGGGAACTCCAGCAGCAAAGACCCTCTCTATCCACCACCCCCCTTCTTTCCTAAATTCTTCCCCAGTCCAGGAGTCCAACACTCCAGAGAAGGAAGTGTCTGCAGACATCACACACCCACAAGTATCCAGATTCCAGAGCTCATAAGGATGGTTACACCCACTTGCCCATGGCTGCTCAGCAGTTTTGGAGCCAGGTCAACAGTGAGGTGACCTTCCTTAAAAAGTCAGCAAAGTTCATTTTTATTTTTAATTCTTGGTTCAACAAAGTGAGATAGTGTTTTAACTCAGGGCCTCACACTTGCTAAGCATGTACTCTATCACTTGAGCTACTCCTCTAGTCCTTTTAAAAATATTTTTTAAGGGCTGGGACTATAGTTCAGTGGTAGAGTGCTTGCCTGGCATGTGAAAGACCCAGAGGTAGACCCCCAGAATCAAAAAAAAATTTAACTTCACTTTATTATAAAAGGAATATATGAACAATATCAAAAAAAGTTAGTTTTAAAAAACTGTGACTTAGAAAGCGAAAAATCCCTTATATAGTCCTACACCCATCAAAATCTCCTTCTTAGGGCTGGAGGTGTAGCTCCATGATAGCACAACTTAGCATGACCTCCAGACAAACACAAAAAAACTTTTCTTTATATTTCACCAGCTTTTCTTCCTTCCTCCCTCTCTCCCTCCCTCCCTTCTGGTACTGAGGTTTGACTCAGGACCTCATGCTTGTTAAGCAGGCACTCTACCACTTGAGCCATACTCCAGCCCTTTCTTGCTTTAGTTTTTTTTTCAGATGTGGCCCTGAACTTTTGCCTAGGACCAGCCTTGGACAACACTCCCCCTACCTCTGTTTCCTGTAAAGCTAAGATTATAGACATGAACTACCACACCCAGCTTGTTTTTTGAGAAAGAGTCTCACTAACTTCATTTTATCTGAGCTGGCCTCAAACCTTGATCCAATCTCTGCTTACTGCATAGCTGGGATTACAGACAGAGGCTACCATACCTGGTCCTTCAACAGCTTTTCTTTTCCATATATATGTGCCATATATATATATGTCACATTCCATATACATATGTGAATTGAGTGTATGTGGCAGGAGATATGTGGTGCAGTTGTCTATCCTGACATATAGTCCTTTAACTTATTTTAATTTTTTTCCATTAAGAATATCCCATTTAGGGACATTCTTACCACCCCAGTTAAAGCTTAGGTTAACTCAGGGGCCCATCACTTGGAGAGGAAGGTGAGTCCCTATGGACTTGAAGTCTGAGGTTTTCAGGCAGACCTAAGGAGGCCCTCAGAAGAGGACCCTGTGCTGGAAACCCACACCAGCCCTTGAGGAGAAAAAGCCTCACTCAAGAAACTCTGGGAGGGTGGAACAGACTGCACACAACATGGCTGTGGCACTGGTTAGACTACAGCATGCCTGCGAAGGCATGCCAGGGCAGGCTGTGCATGCTGAGCACTGTCCCAGGCCTGAGCCACTGCAGTGTTCTAGAAGATTTCTGTTGAGCTGGGTGCACACACCCAGCCATTAGTGCTTGGGAACCAACCCCTGTACCAGGGCAGAACCCAAGACATCCAGGATAACCAGGGTGGCAGCCCATGTTCTTCCCCGGTAGCGTCATAGCAGAACAAATGCACCTGTCAGCACTCTGCTCTGGGAGTCACTCCTGTCTGGTCAGGCCACAGGCTGAGATATTTTATGGCCAATAATCCCAATGAAGCATAAATAGAATAGCAGGAAAAGACTATATGGAGGACAGAAGCTCAGGACAAAGCCTTACAGAGAGGGAGCTCCTCAATAAGCAGCCACAGGACACAAGCTGCCCAGCAGCTCATGAGAACACAGAGAATAGTGAGCTACACTGGAGGTGGACTGCAGGTTTGCATCCCAGGCCCCCAGGGACTGGCTGCATGATCAAGGGCAATGACTTCCTGCTTTGGAACTATTTCTTTGCCTGTCAACTCGAAGTAATACAAATAGTAGCTGCCTCAAATGGTACTTATGACCATGACTGACAGAACTCCCTTGGATAGTCAGAGACATCCAGGACCTTTGGGGCATTCTTTCTAACCACAGCCAGAACCACACAGGTCACAGCATGGTCTTTGCCCAGGCTGACAGTGACAGTGCTGTGCTGACACACAGAGTAGTTTTGCTGTTCCTGGACAAGGTACTGGGTAAGCAGGGGTCAGGACAAAGGTTAAGGAAATGTATCTACCAGGCCCTCTGAAGTTACAAGACTTCCAGATACCTCCATTTCTTGCCTCCTCCAGGCCTACAAAAGGGATCCACCATCTACCTTGTTGGGTCCTTGGATCCCATTTATGGAGAGATGGAATAAGGCAGGAGGCCCTATCTATGGATGGGAGGGGGCTGCAGTTCCCTTCTTTGACTGCTCTTAGTCCCTGGAACACCTATCTAGCTTTTTACAGAACCACTGGGTTCTCTGGAACCCTGAAAAAGACCTGGATGGCGCCCAGGCACCCAACTCACCCTGGTCGATGGAGTGCTGTGGCAGCTGGCTAAGCTGGCTGCTTACCACCCCAGCATAGGTGCGCAGGAATTCCTCCTCGCTGGCTGTCAGCTGCAGGGTAAGAGTGCTACAATGAGGAGTATGCACCTGCTCCCCAAAAAGGCCCTGACCACTGGTGCCTCCCTCTTTGCTCCCTGGGCCTCAGATTCCTGAGATCTGATCCATTCAGTTCCAGAATAAACACCCTCCCTTCCAACCCTAAAAACCAGGTCCCAGGGGCCCACAGGCCTTGCCACTCAGGCAGAATTGGATATGAGTGTTTAGTCTGGCACAAGGCCAGTGGGAAGACATAGGCCCTGCCCAGAGATCTGATGGCTGATGGGCAATTCCAAATCCCACCTTCTCTTTTCAAAAGATACCCCTGTACCCACTTGTCTGCCCATCTTGCCCAGCTGCTCCTTGCATGCACCCTGGGAGAGAAGTCTCTCAGGGGTCAACAGTAGGGAGAAAATGAAGGTCAGGTTCTTCAAACCCTTGCCCTCCTAGCCCAACACACAGCACAGGGGTAGGAAGATTACCCGAGCAATGTACCAGAATTGGACATGCTGAGAGTTCTGTACCTGGGGGGCCTGAACTGACCACAGACCCAAACCACAGGCCCAGCAGCTCTTCCCTCATAGTGACCCAGAAGGCAGTTGTGGTACCACCCACCCTCCTTTAGGGGAGCAGGTACCCTCCCTGGGGGCCTATTCCTTGACACTCCACACTTACGTTTGACCCCATCTTCCTTAGCATGAGCAGCACTCGGACCTTCTGCTGAATGTACATCTCTTCCGGACTCTTCCCGGGTGCTCCCTCGCGGTTCATCCCCCTAGCCCAGCTCTGGGGTCTCCTGTAGGAGGAAGGACAGCACTGGAGAGGGATAGGGTCAGGGTAAGACATGCTTAAGTACAGATACCTGGAGGATGCTGCACACCTTTCCCAAGTAGACCCTTCCCACATGGGGTCTCATTTCTGAGAGCACTGAGGAGATGGTAGGTTGCTAGATTCCTCTCTTACCTCACTGTCCCCAGCCAACCCGAATGAGCAACTTATTCCAGAGCAGGGGCTGCAGGGGACCTGGCAGGTCAGCCTGCCACTTCTCACATACAGCTGTCAGGTTGGAAGAGAGCATATTAGACTTCAGGCCAGCTCTACCTTTCAGTCACCCTGAAGCAAGGCTCCTGTTATGAGCACAGGGGACATGATGCACAAAGTCCAAAGATTTCCCAGTTTTCAAAGCAAACAACTTGTACATTTGCAGAAATGACATGATCTGAGGTAGCTGGTTGGGGCCTTTGCTTGAGAAACCATGAGATTAGTGCCCAGCCCCCAACCCAGAGACAGCTCCCTGTACAAAAGCCCAGACCAAGTTCAAGAGGCCAGCTCCTGGGCTGGGCTCCAAGGAGTCCCTCGATGGGGAGCGGCTAGCCCAGGGAAGAGGGGCAGAGGTACTGGCAGGGATGGCTGCTGCCACCCTCACAAACAACCCCACCTGTTGGAGGACAGCTCCTGCAGGCAGCTGTAAAAGCCAGCAGCTATGTCCAGGAGTGGTGGGCCTGACCTGCAGCAAGGTGCTGGGAGAAAAGCCCAGTGCCTCCTCCAGGAGGAGCTGGAGGAGAGAGGCGGGTGCAGAGGGATTTAGGTTACATACTTATAACTCCTGGACGAGTCAGAAATAACGCAGCAGCTGGTGGGGGTGGAGCCTTGTCAGTCCTGGTGCCAAGGAGCTGAGATCGGGGAACCCAGGAACCTGGCTGGTGGGCCAATGACACTCTTAACTCCTCACTTGGTCCATCCTCAGGAGCCTGTGGGCCTTGGACCAGGGGCTCTCCCAGGCAGGATGGCACCTCCATGCCAAGGGCATACCCAAGAATGTGTCAGAGGCAGGGCAGCAGCCTCCCTATAGGTAATTGTGAATGCTTATTCCCCCAAAGCTAATGGGACCCCTGCCCTAAAAGTCCACACAATAGGCTAAAAATCTGGCCAGCTGGGGCTGGCGTTGAAACTGTACACGATGCAGCACAGAGCTCCTTCTAGAGCCTTCCTTTCCACCCTTTTTTTAAGGGTGGAAAGTCTGATTAATCCCAGACTCCCTTCCTCTGAAATCTGCTCCTTTTCAACTCCTCCTGGGCTCAAAAATGGCCTAAGTAAAAACTGGAAAAACAAGCAGCTGCCTCAAGCATGGTCTCCCAGGTAGATGCCAGTTTGTGCACAGCCCTCATTTCCCAGAAAGCTGAGTGGGAAAGCATGGTCTGGGTTAGTATTTCTCCTATCACCCCACTCTCACTTCCTTCCACTTCACCACTCATGTAGCACTGCTGATCTTAGACTGGACTCCACACAGTCTCATGCACTGAGCCCTGCTCTAGGCCTTGAGCATGGATAGTGTATCCTCCATCTCCTCCTAACCACTGCTTCATCTGGGCTACTATTTGGCGGTGCTTCCTCAAGATCCCCCGCCTATTTCCTCTCTCGTCTTCTCCCCTTACTCAATAATCAGAACCATCTAAAAAAGACCTGAAGAGATTACATCACTCCCTACCTAATCCTACCAGAGAATACGTTTCATAGTCCTGGCCAGGACCCCATAATGCCCAGCACAATCAGCCCTGCTCCTGCTCCACCCCGCCTCTCCTCACTCCTTCAGTTGGTAACCTCTGCACTGGGTGTCCCCTTGGCCTGGAACAGGTTTCTGACTGTCCTTCATCTGAACTTAAAGACACCTTTCCAGGGAAGCATCTGACAGCAAAACTGAAGCCAGTTCTGTACTCCCACCCCAGTCTCTCCTAGTTCATAGCCCTGTCTCATTGTCCTAATTTTCTGAGTGTTACTGTCTTTCCTATGCCCTGCTGGAAGGCCAGGACTGTGTCTGCTTTGTTCACTACTGCTGGTTCTGGAGCCTGGCACCTGGCATGCTGACCAGTTGGCTGACTAAAACAGGGAAATAGCCTATGCTGTCTAAGCTTCCCCTTTCCTATGATATCCACACCAATTTAGGGACAAGTGTCATTGTGTTGAGACTGAAGTATCTAACCCAGTCTCCCATGACCAAATTTAGCTTTTCCAAAGAACTCTCATTTCCCAAGTTCTTGGCTGCCCTGGGCAACTGTGTTCTCCAGAGGACAACAGAAGTGTCCCACCAAGGTTGAGCGCTGGTGGCTCACACCTGTAATCCTAGCTACTTGGGAGATTGAGATTGGGAGGCTCAAGACTTGAAGCAAATAGTTTATGGAACAAACTGAACTGGAGGCATGGCTCAAGTGGTAGAGTACCTGTTTTGCAAGCGTGAAGCCCTGAGTTCAAGCCCCAGTCCCAACAAAACAAACAAAAAAACCCAAAAAAGTGTTCCACCAAACCTTCAATATAGGAGTTAGGTCTCTGAGGAGTAAAATCTTCCAATTCCATTCTGTGCCCAAGGGCCAGTTTTTACATTGGGCTCTCCTTTTGAAAGACACCATTGGATGCAAGGGACCAGCCACTAGGTGTCACCACAAACAAAAGCACCTGAGTTAAGGACATTCTCCCACCCCAACAGGCTCCCTGTAGGCTGCTGACCTCTTAGCCAGTGCAGGAACCTATACTACCCATACAAACCACACTCCAGTCAGCCTGGGTTCCAGGGAAGATCAATCCATTCCTTCTGAAAGTCCCACCTAGGCAAGGAGTGCTCTAGTTTACACTGTCACATTCCCCAAACCCCCTTCATTTTTCTGGAAGCATGGTAGGTGCTGACTAGAGGAACATCTGTTCTGCATCAAAGAATCATTTCACATGGGGCCCAAGTTACAGAACAATCCTACCCTCCACATCAGGGACAAATTGGTGTCACCCATTTCTCTTGGCTATTGTAGCCTTGCTGTCCCCAGGACACTTTACACTGTGATTTCTAAGGGCCTGATGACCATCTAGCCGTGGGCCTGGATTGTCAGCAGGGTCTGACTGGAACCAGGTCATTCCCATATCAACATACTTCCCTGGCAGAGGTTGTTTCTTAAGCTGATTCTTCATGCTTTGGGAAGATTCCTGACTTGGCATTTCTCTAGTATTTTCAGGCTTTGCTTTGGGCTGATTCTGTCCTGCTGTCTAACAGGGGAACGCCCCTGGCTGGATGTGGGGCAGAACGTGGCCCAGAGCACACATTCCTACCCTTTGTATTCCAACCCAAATGTTCTAGAAATGTCATGACTGGTCATGATTCTGTCCTAATCTGCAGTAAAGGTATCAATATGAAGAGAATTAAAAAATAAAGAGAATAAATCTTAATCACCCAAACAACAAAGATAGTGCAGCCACTGGTGTACTACAAACATTATAGTATGTTTAGGTTTGTTGCCTGTCTAAGTAAACGTGCCATTAAATTTTCATCACAATTCTAACAAGCATCAGATTCACTTCACTTGGGAATTCTGATTTTCCCATAAAGGGATCAAAACTGGTCTCCATTAAGATGTGCTTAAATTACATAAACTTAAACTACAACTAATTTAGATATTAATTATTCATCCAATCTCAAACCTAAGAACCAAAAATAAAGATGCTTCTCAGTATGGTCTCAGCTATGCCCAACTACTGTTATCCCAACTGTCTAAGTGGGGCAGTATTTCCCTTCCAAATCCTGAGAAAAATTTTCAGTGTTAACTGTCCAAGTCAAAGATGAGCCAAAAAGAAAGGAGAAATGGAAAGAAACAGGCAGCTGTCAATTACACAAATTGACATTTATGCAAATGGGAAGGTCTGTGGTTATATATTATATAATAGTAAGCCACGAGTTATATGAAAACTGGATGCCATGCCAGAAAATATCATCTGAATGGGCAAACACAAATACCAAAGTACTTCCAACACACATACACACGAACATGCGTGTGCGCACAATAGCTTGTGGTTCTGAACCCACCTCTCTGTTGAAGGAAGGCTGGCTGGTCAAGAAAGGGCAATGAGGAAATGGCTCCCAGCCACTGTGAAGGATTCACATAGAGAACCATAAGGCTTATGGCCTGAGAGGCCACAACTGTACTCCCCAGGAGACATTCAAGGACACTGATGCCACACTTCTACCCAGCCTCTGCATGGACCTAATATCGACCAACACATGACCTTCATCTTTTAACACACTGATCTCACTTTAGAATAATTAAGAGGGGGACGGAGGCACCTACAGAACATACAAGAATATGACATGTGGCCACTGGATGGCTAAGGTCATCCCTTGGGTCTGTTTGAGAAATGCAACAGATTCTGATTAAGAGCTTGGAGAGCTGCCCTCCCTTGATGGGCTCGAATTGTCCTAAATACAAACATAGCCATCTTCACTCATTTTTATTTATACACCTAAAGTTAATACTGTTTGAATACCACAATTATATATATTAAAATATCCATTTATACCCAGGGGGCTCTTGCACCTGCTAAGAAAATACCAAATAAGCTCAGGCAGGGCCAGACCACAGGGAAGTTCTTTAGGTACACATGACCTCTGACCTCTGGATCATAGCATTTGTCTTTTGTTTAGTTCATTTTAAATTCATCACAATGTATTCAATCTTAGCTGGGGATGTAGCTAAGTGGAAGAGAACTTGACTAGAATGGGTAAAATCCTGGGTTCCATCCCCAGCACCAACAAACAAGTAACAAAAACAAAACACCACTGGGCGCCAGTGGCTCATGCCTGTAATCCTAGCTACCAGAAGGCAAAGATCAGGAGGTTCAATGCCAATCTGGGCAAATAGTTTGAGAGCCCTTATCTCAAAAAAACCCATCACAAAAAAGGATTGGTGGAGTGGCTCAAGGTATAAGCTGAGTTCAAACCCCAGTACCAGAAAAAAAAAAAAAAAAGATAGATTTTAAATGCTTACACTTAAAAATGAATACATATTTTTAAAAAGTTTCTATCAGACAAAAATGTCAAATAATTGTGTGACTCACAGAGTTTATATAAAATATTAATCCAGAGTCTGCATCAATCTTAGCCTGAAGAAATGGGCAATACCAAACATTTGCCATACAAACTCACACATCAGGCCCGGTGATGTGGCTCAAGTGGTAGAGTGCCTGCTTAGCAAGCATGAGGCCCTGAGTAAAAGAACTAGTACCACCAAACCAAAAAACAAAACAAAATAAAACTCACACATCAGATGGGGACAGCTCAGCAGCAGAGATATGCTTAGGGTCCTGGGCTCAATCCCCAGCACCACAAAAAAAAAAAAAAAAGACCCCCTCATCTCTAAAGAAATGAGTATCATGAGGTAAATGAAATGAGCTAATCTGAGAGTCTCTATCCTGGTCTCCCAGACTACCCCGAACCCTACCTGACACTGTCCCATGAACACACAACAGAGGCCTTTCCCTCAGGTCCTTACCTGCTTCTAGAAATTAACTTCAGGACAGCAGGTACTCAACTGTGAGGGCAGGGCTGCGGCTGGGGAGAAATAGAAGGTGCCACCCTGTGGAAACACAGAACACGGGTCATGGGAGGAGCCAGGAGGTCCTGGTGGCTACTGCAATGGAGACTGGCATACACACCCCACACTGAGGGAGCAGTACCACTGGCGGGAAGCTTGTGGCCATGCGCTCTGCCACAGTCCAGAAATACCTGTGTGTCAGGCAAGCCCAGAGGATCTGTTCCAACACCTCCAGGATAGGGTGCTGACTACAGCACACAGGCCCGTCATTTCCGGCCAAAGCAGGTCAGCCTGCTCACAAAGCACACCTCCTCCCCTAGGTTAGTCACCCAGTCTAGAGACAACATGGACCAGAATGATTCACTGAACAGCTGATGGACAAGTCCCACACCTGCATGAAATGACACTCTACCCAACAACTACCACGTGTGTTCCAATGGTGCATCTGTCTGCTGTGATCAGGGAACATCTGCAGCTGTCTATGCCAAACTCAAGTAAATGGATATATGTTACATGTACATATGAAGCACAGTCAAAGCTCATTTCATACCAACTAGCCTGGCCATAGGTCTACCTACCTTAACACACCTCTTCCAAAAATGGAAGAATACTGCCTACTGACTCCCACACAGAACTCATCACTCAGGTCACATTTACATGCTAATGTGGTAAAGCATGGCCCACCAAGGGGCCAGGGTGGTGAGCCCTGCCTACAGCTCCAGGGTGCACAGGCCTCTGAGCCTCTACATGCTCCAGAGCACCTGCCTTACAGGTGGCTCTTAGTGCTCAGGTCCATTATGAGGAAAGGCTTAAAAACAATAAGAAATGGGCTTTGGAGGAGGGGCACAAGACAGCATCCCCACTGTCTTCAGCAATTTCTACACAGACAGCTGTGTGTACCCAAGAGGCTGAGAAAGACATGTTTTCCGGAGAAAGTAGGACTTCAAAAGCCTCCTCTAAAGTCAGGCATCACTCTAAATCTGTGTCTCTGTTGTGTTTGTCCCTTCATTCAGAGGATGGCCCTGGGAAGGAAGAGCGTTACCCACACTGCCACCCCCCTCTGCCATCAGACCAACCCTATAGGAACAGTCCATTTATAGCAATTAATTGCTCTGTTATTCTTCCAGATATCAAAGTACCAAAATACCAAAAAACCCTGGGGAACATTCCACCCAAGTCCCCA